CATACAGTTTGAAAACGAGGCGCGGCTCCAACTAGAAAACAATGTTTTGATGCATTGGATGTGCTGAATGTGCATATTAAGGCAGTACAGGAGGAGGTGCACATTAATAATCCTCCAGGACTGTAACATGCTCATGTTTAACCCAAACAATGTGTCATGTGACTGCAGTTGCTTCACATCCAGGTCGGAACGCCTTCTCACCACAAACCAACCGCACCAGAGTTCCTTTGGAACCGGACTGAGACCACCTCTTCAAGAAGGTCTCAGTCCGGTTGTTTTGGTGTGTTCACACCTGCACAAATGAACCGCACTGAGTTCAACTGAACTGAACCAAACAGGGCAGGAGTGAACGCAGCCTTAGTAAATGTACCAAGTTTCTTTCCACTGCTGGTTAGTAACAGTGTTTCTGCCTCATCAGCTTCACTGACTGACTCATTTGTTTTAATTGGCTTCACTGATGTCAATTAACTAATGAGCCAATTAAGGTTAATTATCTTCATTCAGTGACGTTCATTAACTCGTCAGTAAATGACTTTTTAATTAACTGTGAATTAATAAACGTGTTCTGTGCTCATGTTTGACATGATGCACACACACACACACACACCAACACACACACACACACACTGTGTCTCTGGGTCTTACGTGGGTTTCCGTCCTCGTCCAGTTCGTCCATGTCCTCAGCCTGAGTGATCCAGTCCATGTATCCACACAGATCTTCCTCCATCTGCTGCTTCTCCCTCAGCTTCTGGAAATCTCCCCGAGCCTTCGCCTTCTCCCTCTCCTTACTGAACTCTCTGCAACGTTCACACAACATTTAAACCTCAGACAAACACGCAGACCTGTGGAACCCAAACACTGTGAGAACGTGCGTGTTTCTGTAGAGAGAGAGACGACTGACCCGCTGAGGACTCCCAGAACCAGGTTGAGAACGAAGAACGACCCGAAAATCACCAGACTGACGAAATAAACCCAGGGCAGCTCAAACCCGATGGCGTCGTTCATCTGCACACACAAAGGAAACGTCACAGAGAGACGACATCGACGCGTTCTTCGATCTGTACAGCAGCCTGTCCACGCTGTGTTTACCCAGTAGAGGACGTCGGTCCACCCCTCCATGGTGATGCACTGGAACACCGTCAACATGGCGAAGAAGAAGTTGTCGAAGTTGGTGATGCCTCCGTTGGGACCGTCCCACCTCCCCCGACATTCGGTGCCGTTAACCATGCACTGACGACCGTGACCGGCAAACGCACACGGCACCGGGTCGTCCTCCACGTAATTATCTGGAATTTGATACAGTAACAAAGTACATTTACCTGAGTACTCGAGTACTTTCATTTAGTGCTACCTTCTCCTTTTACTCCTTCTACATGTCTGCACTACATTTATCTGCCAGCTGCAGTTACTTTACAGATTCAGATTATTAATAATCAGTAATAAATGATTATTATTACAGATGAATCTACTCAGTATCATTAAACTGAGCTTCATCTTTACCACAACACATGAACGCAGTGTGTGTGTGTGTGTGTGTGTGTACCTGTTCCTATGTAGTAGCAGGTCCTGTGCATGCGTCCTATGAAGAGCTCCAGACCGATGATGGCGTAGATGATGATGACGAAGAGAACCAGCAGAGCGATGTGGAGCAGAGGAACCATCGCCTTCATGATGGAGTTCAACACAATCTGCAGACCTGACACACACACACACACACACACACACGCACACACAGTGTTACACACGTACGATCATACAGGACACACAGACACAGACACACACTCTGCCTCCCGTCCAGTAGACTCACTGGGGACTCCAGAGACCAGTCTGAGGGGCCTCAGGACTCTGAAGGCTCTCAGAGCTTTGACGTCCAGACCTCCAGGTTTCCCCGGCACATGATGAGACGTCGCCACCTCACCAGATTTATGAGTCATTGTCTCCAAGACGACGCTGAACAACCTGTGGAAACAATAACAACAGGAAGTTTAAGATCCAGATCGTCAGATATAAACTGCAGTTTAAAACAATTTGAATCCGACGGCCCGTCCGTGGGCCCCTCAGAGGATTTCTGATGATTGTGATTTGTAAAACAGCCGCTGTATGAGTTGTTGTTTCAGTGTTTTACTCAGACGACATATCGTTGGATAGCTTCACTCCTCGTGATGCCATTAATGCTGAATATTTCAAGATACAACCATCACAGCTGGCTCATTAACACTTTGGACTCCAAAACACGGCCCGAAAGAGGCGTACGCCACTTCCTGTTGGGACAAACTGTGACCCGTGCTTACCAACATTTTGGAGACGGTGAGGTGGAGGCCTGATTGTGGACAGTGTCTCATATTTTTGGGCGCACGCCATTTTCAGCTGCGCTGCCTATATTTACGCCCCTGAGCTGCTGTCTCCTGTTTGTCAAAGGTCCATCCATCCATCCATCCATCCATCCATCCATCCATCCATCCATCCATCCATCCATCCATCCATCCATTTTCCTTCACTTGTCCGAGGCCAGGTCTCGGGGGCAGCAGGCTGAGCAAAGCTTGTTAAATGTTTGTTATGTCGTCTGTCTGCAGTCTGACCCGTTTCCTGCACCTTTGTGTTTGTTTGCTCTGTTTCTGTGTAAAAATTAACCCTTAAGATCCTCACAGAGTCCTGTGTGCACCTGTTAAAGTGCTTTAATCCAACACCTGTCTGATGGATTGTTATGAACTGTAGCGTTGGGCTCAGAGCAGGCGGTGCAGGGTTATGGGACAGATCCCAGCGTCCTTCAGCAAACAGACGTGTGGACATTTCTCCAAAAGACAAATTCTCCAACACAAAGACAAAAACTCCTCAAAGAAATCCTCTGTGTCCCAGATTCAGCAGCCTCTCACTGTTATCATCTCTGACTGGAAAGTGGAACGGAGCATCCTCGGGCGGCGTTACCATGACAACAGGCTTCATCATCACCGCCCTGAGGTCATCCCGAGTCGCGTCACCACCCTGCAGCGAGGGCATTAACCGGCGCGGAGGACGACGCCGGGGACCTGCAGGACTCATCGTGACCTCAGCAGGTGACTGAAAGAACTTTGTTCTATTTTATATCTGATGACGTCTCAGTGAGAACACGCCTGCTCTCCGGCTTTATCCACCGTCCACAGGAACTCAACTCGCTTCTCCTTCAACTTTCTGTCAATAAAAGTCGACACTTCCTGCAGATATTTCACATTAAAAGCCTCCCAGTGGCTCAATGACAGAATCCTCCCTGTTCTGTTTTCACTGCTTCAGACAGATGTTGGACCGTATCAAAGGTTCTCTCAGTGTTTGCACTCTGTTCAAAGACGGAACATGAGGACAGATTTTCTCTTCTGAACTGTTTTCTACACTGAACCTCAAAATATAATCATCAGCGTCCGACTAACACTGTGTGAACCTCTCCTTAAAGAACCATCTGAAATCTAGGGCTGCTCTCTGACAGTCCACCAAATGCTAGTCGACCACAAAGGTCATTAGTCAAGATTTCACTGGTCGCTTAGTCACAGAAAAACAAAACAAAAAACTCTATGAGGAGCTGCACCTTGTCAAAATAAATCCAAACCTATTTGACTGGAGCATGTGTGACTTTACTTTGAAAGGACAGACACAGGAAGTGTCCACGCTCAGCAGTCAGACAGGAGTCAGGTTAATTTCCAGGGCTGGTACCTGCGGTTATTCCACAGGCTAGTTAATAACATGTCGGGCAGGAAATCCAAAGTGTGGGATCATTTTGAGAAGGTGAAGGACGAACCCAAGGTGATATGTAAACTCATCTTCATTGGTCGACTACAAACATGACGTATCATCTGAAACATGGAAGTAGCTACATGCCCATTAGCCCACAGCGTCATTAACAGGCGGCTCGCTCAGTGTGTGACGTGCACTTGGAGATAAAATATAGGCCTGAAATCAGTCAGATCTCCTTCATCAGGTGTGTATGTGTGATCATCAGAGTCTTGATTGCAATAGAACATTTCTACACAACACAGCAGCAGCTCACATCTACAGACGTCCTGTTCTCTGTCAGGATCCTGAGGAGAACCGGCCCACCTGAGAACCAGAGCAGCAGCATCCTCAGCACCGAGCTGAGAGTTAAACTCTCCGGTTCCCTGCCGTGACTCAGAGCTGGAGTTAAGTGTGTGTGTGTGTGTGTGTGTGTGTGTGTGTGTGGAGCAGAGTTTGGTTGCAGTGAGCAGTGATCACAGTCAGCCGTCACATACACTCAACACAGAAACACTAAAATGAGATAAATTGTGGCGTCGCTGCAGGGTTCCTGGGTTCCTCCTCCACTGACCACACAACAGGACGCTGCTGAGTTTACTGCAGTCACATCCCATTTACTGCTTCAACCACACACTGAGGGCAGCTCAGGGCGAGAACACACAACGCAGAACCAGGATCTACAGAGAGGACCAGGACCAGAACACAGAACACAGAGCCAGGGATCTAAAGACAAAAGCGAGCTCCGGACAAAAACACAAAGCAGGGTCTGAAGAGAGAACTAAGCTCAGGACGAGGACACGGAACCATGGATGTAGAAGCAGAGTCCAAACCAAGGACCAGAGTTTTAAGAGAGGACCAGGATTGAAAAGAACCAGGATAAACAGAGAGAAACAGGAGCTGTGGAGACAGCCAGAGTATAAACAAAGACACAGGGTAAAGAAAAAGAACCTGGATCTAAAAGGAGAACCAGAGTGTCAACAGGAAGAACCATCTCTTCCTTCCTGTTGAGACCATCATCTCATGACTGCACAATTGTCTAATGAGGACAAAGCTCTGAGAGGAGAACCTGAATGTATCTGCAGAGACCTGAAGACAGAACCAGAGTGTTAACAGGAAGAACCAGTGTCTCAAAACAGATCCAGCATCTAAAGACAGAACCACAGTCTGAAGAGAGAAAACCAGTTCTTGTGTTTTCTCACCCAACGATGACGATGACGAAGTCGAGCAGGTTCCAGCCGTTGCGTATGTAGGAGCTGGGGTGCATCACCAGACCGTAGGCCAGGATCTTCAGGAAGGTCTCTACGGTGAAGATGATGAGGAAGACGTACTCCACTTGTTCCTGAAACAGACAGAGAACATGCTCCACCATCAAACACTGTAGATGGGAACATCACACAGAACGTAGATGTTAGTCCTAAAACCACACTGAGAATGATCCACTATGAGTAACAGTCCTTCTTAAAACATTTTTTGCATTTTTTTTTCTTAAATTTTTTTTTTGCAATTTTTTTTTCATAAAACATTTTGTGCATTTTTTAAAACCTTTTTTTGCATTTTTTTTTCTTAAAACATTTTTTGCAATTTTATTTTCTTAATTTTTTTTAAATTTTTTTTGTTAAAACAGTTTTTGCAATTCTTTTTTTCTTAAAACATTTTTTTGAATTTTTTTTTCTTAAAACATTTTTTTGAATTTTTTTCTTTCTTAAAACAATTTTTGCAATTTTTTTCTTAAAACATTTTTCTTAAAACTTTCAACATTTTACATGATACTTAAAGAAAATGTTGGGAGGGCATGTTTTCTTTGGAAACTTTTGGCAATTTGTTTTTCTTTTCATATATTTGGAATTTTTTGTTTGTTTTGTTTTAAAATGTGTCTTTTTATGTTGTTATTTTTAAAATTTTGGCAATACTGTTTTTACTATTTATTTTACCACGTTTTTTTTAAATTGCCAGAATGACACCATCTATAAACCAGAAACTAAAAAAAAACAGAAATTATTGTTCGATCAAATTTCCAACAGTCCTTGAACACATCATGTGCCACAAACACTTCTGTCAGAACAAAAACAAATAACCAGATCTGATCTTAAAATATAGATATTTCAATAAAATCACTTTGTTCTACATCTCATTTAGAATTTGTCCAAAAATAAACTGTTTGCATGAAAAGAGTGAAAAACTGAGACTTTTTCATCTTCATCAACAGAGACAGTTTACACACAGGACACAGACCTTGGTGCTTCGCCCCGACTGAGCTCTGTTCACTGTTAAATGGGTGAACTGAACCTTTACTGCTGTCTGAGAGGAGGTCTGAACGCTGGAGGGCGTTTATAAGGTTTTACACAATAAAACTGTGTGTGTGTGTGTGTGTGTGTGTGTGTGACCTGGTAAACATGCATGTGGAGAATTTGTGAGCATTTCAGAGGATTACCAATCTGTCATCATCCCTGCTCCACAAGCACACACACACACACACACACACACACACACACACACACACACTGGCCTTTCTGTACTTGTGAGGACTCTCGCTGATGTCATACATTCCCTGCCCCCAACCATGAACCATCACAACTGAATGTCCGACGCCTGCACCTTCAGATGTGAACTCCACACAGACCTGTGAGACAACGTGGGGACCGGTCTCACGTCGCAAACTGTCCTCACTGCAGGCTGAAACTCAAACTGGACCTCACAGAGACACAGGACATGTACACACTCTCTGTCCTCAGTTTTTGTTACACTGTCAGGAAATTACTGAATTTAAGTTCACTGACTGACTGTTGGAAAGTCTGTCGTCATGCTAACAGCTTTAAGCTAACTGCAAACATCAGCAGGTTAGCATGCTAACAGTGTAGATGCTAACCTGCTGATGTTTAGCAGGTTTACACTGTATCCACCTCACAGATGTAATGTAAGCACAGCAAAATGGTATTTCAGTTACTGTTGATAAGTATTTATTATTATCATGGTCCTTTTGCTCTGAGCTGCTGTAACAGCTGGGATTAAAGGATAACTTCTGCATTTTTCAACCTGGACCCCATTCCCCTGGCTAAACTGATCGAAGACACTGATGTGAACAACAGTTTTTCAAATTGGTCCAGTACTGAGCGAGATGGCAGCTGTGGAAGGAGCTGCAATGGAGGCACACGGAGCAACTCAACATCGTCGCTGTATGTCCATTAGAAGTAGTTATTGTTATTAAAAGTGTCCAAAGCATTTCTTCACCTTTCACTTGATCCAGTTTGTTTGTTATCGCCTCGTTAAGCAGACGCCTCGCTCTGATACGTTATGAAATGTCACGAGACGTGTGTTTGAGATCTGGAGAGTGTGTAATAACCAGAGTAGCTTATAGAAAATGTATTTTAGTGTTGTCTAAAAGATTTTGAATATCATGGATTTATCATGGACAATACTGTGGAAAACTGTTGCTCACATCAGTCTCTTCAATTAATTTACGCGAGGAAATAGAGTCCAGGTTGAAAAATGCCAAAGTTATTGTTTTAATGCTAAAAGCATCAATTATAAACAATAACAGCCAAAATGTTGGGTGTGACATCATGAAGACCTGATGCTTTACATCTTTAAAAACTACGAACAGAAATCATTTCGTAATTTACATTTTTTTGTTGTTCACTGTTGAAAACTCAGAGATTATTCTTCTGTTTCCACTTCATCTTTTCTTCCACTCGTTTATCTGCAGCAGTGCTGGAAAGTTCATTTACTGAAATACTGCATGTAAGTGGCCCATAAACATGACGTACTTGTACTTGAGTATTGCCAATGTACACAACTTTATACTTCTCCACATCTCAGAGGCAAATATTGTACTTATTACTGCACTACATTTATCTGACAGCTTCAGTTACTTTACAGATAATAATAGATCAATAATAAATATTGATGTATTATTTTAGATGAAACCACAATTTAAAGTCATTAACATGAGCTCCACATTTACCAACTGCAACATTACAGTGATGAACCATAATTATAATATAATACAACTGTGTATTATTATTTTACTTTTAGAACTTTATATTTCCATGTTGATACGTTTCTTCTTTCCTGAGTCAGATTGTGACGGCAGTATTTTTACAGTGTAACTGAAGTAAATCTAAACACTTCTTCAGCTGCAGATCTGCAGTCGTTGTCGTCTTTTGTGTGATCATGTGAGAATGAAACGCCACAAAGAACAACAGCGAGGCAGCGAGGCAGCGTGCTGCTGCGCCGTCACTTCGATAAACATGACTCCATCAGCAGTGTGTACAGTCGGAGTGTAACTGAAGGTAAAGAGACAGAGACGTACAGAGGACACAGAGAGAGAACCATCAGAGCAGAAACCTCTCAGAGTCTCAGCTGATCAGATCTGATCTCAGACCTGCCACTCATCTACTGTACGTCTCCACGACCTCTGACCTTTACAGCAGTGAGGAGGTTCAGATCAGCTGACTGAAGGAAAACACTTCCTGTTCACATGTCGGACAAACACACCTGAGCTCACCCTGGTATTCTCACGCTGACCTGTCTCACCTGTCTCACCTGTCTCACACCTAAACTGTACCAATCCAACTAATGAAGGCAACGAGTCCCGGCCAATCAGAGGGAGAGTAGGGTGAGTCATGCCTTAGACACGTATACGTGGACGCTGCAGTGACTGTGTCAGCCCTTTGCAGCGATACGTCAATGCTGCAATCACACTGAAGGAAGCAAAACTCAGCTGTAAATAAATGACAGTAAACAGAAGAGCTGCAGTTTTTCTGGATAAAAAAAATTATGGTATGTCGAGGTGTTTGTGGTCGACATGTAGTGGAAAAAAGTTTGTCTCCATTTAACCAGAATGTTGATATTTAGTCTGTAATCACTGCTGGACGCTCAGCAGAGGAGTGTCAGACTGACAGGAACTGAATTACTGACGTGCTGGAAGATAATTCATTGTCATGAGAAATTATAAAATCACCTTTGTCAAAGATGAATTTGGTTTATTTTTCTTGGATGTCCCGATATAATATAATTTAATACAGAAGTAATGCTACATAACTTTTCAGCTAAGCAGTGCGCTAGCTAACGCTGTCTGCTTTATCAACTCTTTGATCGTAACAGAATGTCGTCATTTTCATCGCTGCTCATTTTAGAAAGAAAACACGTTCTGTGTTCATGTTGCATAATGTGTGTTTAGACTGATTTCTGTCTGTCCAGACGAGTTATTGAAAGGCTTGTTAACACCTTCCTGTGCTGCACAGCCAGCGACAACAACATAAACCCAGGCTACATCAGACACGAACAACAAGCTGCATGTCATGGCTCCGTCAGTGTGAACGTATTTTCATTATTTAATGTGTTTCAGAATGATATCAACACTGCTGCCGCCAGGTTGATTTAAATATAGACCAAAATATTATTTCATGCTGCAGCTGTTGGTTCTGTGAATTATATATGTCAACAATAAATAGATTTTTTGGTCACATCAAATTCTCACAACAATAACAATTTGTTTATCTTCAAACAGCGCGCTCAGCAGCTTGAGTTCCTGTTCTGACATCCAACAGCAAAACAAGACAATTTAATTCTGAGTATCTTGACTGTTTTTTTTTTTTTATCACATGTAGATCTTAAAACCATAAATATAAAAATGAGTCATTGCAGTCAGCTGAGAAATATAAACGTTATAGTTCTTTTTATCCAGAAAAACAGCAGCTCTAACTAGAACCATATAGGATTCTCCAGCTTTTCCCCATAAGAGAACCTTTTTGGTTCCTTGCAGAACCTCAAGTTTCCACCTGGTTTCCTTTCAGGAGGTTCTACCAAGAACACAAAGGGTTATACCGAGGACCATCTGTGAAAGGCTCCACCTGGAGCCCCTATACGAGGTTTAACATACTACTCTTTGGTGTAATGCTTCCACACAGAACCCTCCCTGGAGGTTCTATCCACAACCCTTCCATCTTCTAAGGGTGCTAACAAGAACACAACCGGGACTTCTACTGAAAACCCTTTTATATTACAGGGGTTTCACCTGGAACCCACATGGGTAAACTGAATAACTGAGGGTGGGGGTTCTTTAACACCTATGCTTTCAACAATCATTAAAGATCTCTTTCTTTCATAAAAGGTTCTTAGCTGACATCAAAGAACTAGTGGCGACGAAAGCCAACTGTTGCGTCGTCTACGTCGCCTCACGTCGCCCTGTGTCAGTTGCATTTGAACACACTACACGGACTACATCCGACGGCCAAGTAGCACGTACGTTCTGCGCCTGCGTGAGAGAGAGCGGAGTGAGAGAGTGGTACATCCTGTCAGCCGAGGGGTTTCCTATCTGTGCAGCCGAGCACCGCAGCACCTCCACGGACTATTACATCCAGACGGTCCCGGTGTTTCCTCCGCAGGCTCCACTTCACTCAGCTGCCCGATAAACCCGCTGCTTCTTCCCACTTTAACCTGAATAACAAACCAGGGCTCGGTGCTCCGGTTGGATCCAAACGGAGAGCCGGGGCTAGCTCAGAGACTAGCGGAGGCTAACTGGCTGTGCTTCCCTCCGGTCATGCTGCGGCTAACGCTCCGCTAGCCGCTCCCAGCTAGCTCCGGTTTGTTATTCAGGTTAAAGTGTGAAGAAGCAGCGGGTCTGTGGGGCAGCTGAGTGAAGTGGAGCCTGAGGAGGAAGCACCGGTTAGCCCCGGTTTCACTACAGGCAGATTCACTCGCTACAGGGGCGAGGAAATAAAACCTGAACAGCCAATCAGAGTGATCTCTCTCACCGACAAGCTCCGCTCCCAATTCAACATGCTTAATCGGCCGAAAAGCCGCCGACGCCAAAGTGCAGACGGTGCGGGACACACCGCAAAAACTAGGCCGACAGATGCTCACCGACAGCCGACCGTCGGCTTGGTGTGTCAGGGCCTTCAGACTGACAAAAACCCCTCAAAGAACCCTTTCTTGAATCGATAAAGGTTTCTGCAGAGGCCAGTGGTTCTGGGTAGAACCCTAGCTGCTCAGGAAGAACCTTTATTTCTGAGACTGAAACCAAGAGAAAAATTTTCCAGCAACTCCAACGCTTCATGTTTCAGCTGAATGTAGTTTAACATTTAACAATGTGATCTAACATTAGACACACCTGACAGAGGAACACTGACCTCAGGCTCAGATCTTAACAACAGCTGAGTCTGTTCACCTCAGACACTCTCACACTCCTCCTCAGCTCCTTCAGCTGCTCTTAATGTAACGTTCTATAAGTGTGTATTTGTTGATCTCACCAGGTCGTGGTTGGTGGAGTTGGAGTCGTCCTCAGGAAACGGTTTGGAAACTCCCAGAGCCACACAGTTGGCAAAGATGGCTAACAGGATGAAGATATCAAAGGGTCTGAGAGATGTAAGGATGCTCAGCAGGGACAAAACAAGAAAAAGCACAATGACATCAAGACCGTGTAACATTATTTTTAGTCTTAGCTACATCCTGGGCTCTGTGGAGATTTTAACTGATGACTCATTAAAGAGCCTGTCGGCAGATGAAAATTGATCTGGTGTAAAGTTGACAGCTGATTGGTCGGAGTAAAGGATACTTCCACTCGACGATGGAGAGAGCGGCTCGTCTGATTGGATTGTTGAGTTTTAGACAGTATAATGCTCTGGGAGCTCGTTGGACCTGATTACTTCCCTGGACCTGAGGAAGAGGAGTGACATCATCATCATCATCATCATCATCATCATCATTGCCATCATCATCATCATCAGTTTCAGCTTCTTAGTGTGTTGTCTGTCTCACCTGTTTGTTAGCATGTTTTTCACCTATTTGTTAGCTTGTTGTTTCTGCCGTTCATTACAGAGTCCTGCACTGGGTCGGGTCGGGTACCCGCAAAAACAGCTGATTTGCGAATGGTTTTTAAAAAAACATTTTTTCCCAGGTTCGGATCTGGGTGGAAAAAATAACATGCGGGTCAGATCGCAGGTTTTAGATAAACACATCAGTCATTAGTTCGGTAAACTACAGATAACTATCTTGGTCATTGGTTCAGCTGTTTACATATGTTTCACCATCTAATAACACAATTTGTGATTGGACGACAGAATCAACATGGCTGCCACCGTCTAACAAGCGCCGCTTCCAAAACAGTAAATAATTATTTAGGTATTTGAGAAATAAGTGGATAAAACGTACAACTATCACTTTATAATGTTTCTGAAGTGTTTCCCTGATGGATTACTTCTCTCCTCGATGGATTCTAAAAACACGTGACAGCTCGTAACTGCTGAACGTCGAAAGTATGTCTATTATTACACATGTAAAGTTCCTTAACATAGATTAAAAGTTTAAAAGCATTAAACGTAACAAATGAGTTCTTTTACACTCGTATGGGAGAAGAACACAGAGGGTTGATGATGGAGCTGAAGTCAGGTTTTTATTGTGAGAGCTGCTTCATTCAGGTCGTTGTTTACTTACTGGCACCTTAACTGTGGTGATATGCTGTTCAATATTCAGCCAACGTGACCCAAAATGATTACTTTAAATCCGGGTTACGGGTCAGGCTGCGGGTCGTGTTTCAACAGGTCGGACCGGGTTGCGGTACTAATTGGCCTGATGCGCGGGTTTGCGGTTCGGGTGCGGGTTTGTACGTCGCTGGGTCGGGTCGGGTCGGGTCGGGTCGGGTCGGGGCGGATCTTGAAAACTGGACCCGTGCAGGACTCTGCTTCATTAGCATGTTGTCTCACCTGTTTCTTAGCGTGTTTCTGTCTCACCTGTTTCTTAGCGTGTTGTCCTCTCTTCCTCTGTGTCCCCGTTGAACTTGTCGTTGAATGAAGCGTGTCGGTTCTCGTCATCCTCACTCCTCCTTCGTCCTCTCCATCCAGCTCTGCGTCCCAGTCTGCATCCCTCTCGTGTCCCTCTCCTTCTCCCCCTCCATCCCCCTCTCCTCCCTCCTCCTCTTCCTCACCCTCACCCCCTCCCTCTTCCCCATCCACTGCTTTGGTGTAGCCATTACGACCAGCACCTGGAGGCAGACAGACAGACAGAGACATACATCAGGGTATCATCTGCATGGAAACTGATGTGTTATCAGGTGGTTGCTGGGTGTGTTAGGTTTACAACTAACTATGGTGTTTTTAGGAAACCACCTGTGTTACTAGGTGGTTGCTAAGGAGCTACTGAGCAGTTGCTATAGGTTACCAGGTGATGAACAGCCAAAAGTTCTAACTAAACAAGCACCGTGAAATAAAAAATTAAAAAAAATCAGTGTGCTACATGAGACGTTCAATGACTTTAAGACAGGACATAAAGGAAATACAAGACAACTAGTCCATACTCATTATGTACAGCATACCATACCATTACTTAGTCATACCAAACATTAGAAAACAACACCAACATTGGTCCACAGGGGGAGCCACAGCGATCGGTCGCATTTTAGCCATTTTGAAGCATTTTTCTGTTGTTATAGCGCCACCCAGTTGCCAATTAGAGTTAAATTTCTCCAGTCACCTTGAGGCGTCCTGTTCTACATATCTACCAAGTTTAGTAAAAATCCATATGGCGGTTAGGCCTAGATAAGAAATGAGCTCTCTAGCGCCCCCATTTTGTTTGATGGGGTCAATAATGGAGGGGTCCCCTCAGATTATGTGTGGTCATATGCCTACAAAGTTGCGTGGTGATGTGTGAAACCCTTGAGATGTTATACACCTTTATGTGATGAGCCACGCCCTCCGCAATATTCATTGCCTTATAGAAGCTCAGTTTTAGTAAGTTTTCCAACTTTTGCCAAGAGGGAACTTTAGATATTGGTCCCTAGATTATGTTCACCCAGTTTCATGCAGATCGCTCAAACTTCCTAGGAAGAGATCCATTTGAAGTGTTTTTCAAAACATTCAAAATGGCGGAAAATCTATATAAGCTGAAGTTATGGGTTCTTGAGGCAAATGTGTTCCTCATGAGGAGAGGCATCTCTGTGCAAAGTTTCATGTCTCTACCACATACGGGGCATGAGATATGCCCATTCAAAGTTTGCAATTTCAGTCGGTTGCTATAGCGCCCCCCTTTGGCCAATTGATGTAATATTGCTTCATTGGCATCCTCCCATGACCCTCTACCACTGTGCCAAATTTCACATGGATTGACCAAGTCAGTGAGGAGAAAAACGTGGAACACACACACACACACACACACACACACAGAGGTTCATCATTATATAGTAAGATATAAAAATACATGAAAATTATTTGAAACAATAGACAAAAAACTGAAGTTATATAACTATACTGCCTTACAGAGGCTAATCGCTTTTGACTTAAGTTGAACATTTGGATATCTGTTCTGTGTCGTGACAAAACTTCCTGGTTCAGTCTCGTTCTGTTCTGGTGAAAATAGGCAGTAAAATTACTGTAACTACAAAATCCAGCCAAACCCCCAGACTTCCTGAACATAAGTGCTTAAATGTTGCATTGAAATTTGTCCCGACAGCTTTGCTAACACGTGTTTCAACAAGCGACCTGTCCAGCACGACGAAAAGATGCAGAGCAACAGAATGTTTTTATTTCCTTCATATAAGGTTTCAGATATAACGTCTCTGTAATCACCAATAATTAGTTAAGTAACTGTAATTAAATTACATATTTTTTCTCAGTAACTGTAACTAATTATAATTATATAATAAGACAAATATAACATTTATTTTGTAATGTAATTTACATGTAACCAGTTACTTCTCAACAATGATTGTATTATATTAGTTTTTTATTTATATATTTTTTACTTTGTCTTTTAAGTTTTGTTTTGAGTTCAGTTCAGTTTCAGTAATTTTCCAGAGCATTTGCTCGTTTCAGTTTTGTTTTTATTGTTTAAAAGTGTTTCCTGTAGAGAATCTCCACGCTGGTGTTTTGGAGGAACTTTGTGTCTGACAGTGGAGAAATATTGTCTTTTTTTATCTGAACTGTTCCTAACTGAGGTGTCAGAGCCGGTTTCTTCCTCCTGCACTTATCTCCTTGACCTTTTCCATTGAGGTCGCAGAGGAGGAGACAGGAGGAGGAGGAGAAGTAGGAGACCAGGAGGACAGAGAGAAAGGAGGAGGTGAAATGAACGGCGAGAGGAAGAGAAGGAGAAATGTGACTGTTTCCAGAGGAAGTGAAAACAGAAATATTGTAGTGAACAGCTGTGACCTAGATCAGTGTGTGTGTGTGAGTGTGTGTGTGTGTGTGTGTGTGTGTGATCTGGGCCGTGATTTATGTGTTAGTACCTGAGGACCCTGAACACACACACACACACAGATAAACCCAGTGCTGGACGGCACAGTGAGATTAGATGATCATCTCTCTCCCGTTGAGTGGTTTCCTAGATTTCCTGTTACCCAGAATGCTTTGCTGTTGTGTCCAGCTGTTTTTGCACATGCAGGTGTGCAGAGGTAGAGCTCACCGAGGAGACGTTCACAGTCGGTGGGAAATAAACAAGTTTATGAGAACGTCACACGTTTATATTTTCCTCTCAGTGATTCTGGTTCAGAGTTCAGAGTTCAGGAGATGTGATGACTTTATTTTACTCACTGTTTCACTACATGTTTATATCACACTGTAAAATATCTGACTGTACATTTACAATTTATTACTAAAAAATTACTGTATCATTTTTTACAGTAAATTACCGTGAGCTGACAGCTGTACACTGTGATCTTACAGTAGTTATACCTGCATATTACTGTGATGCGAAATATGCAAATTAAGTAGCCCGAATGAAGCAAGTAGTGTGATTTTGATCTGAACTTCAGCGACCAATTTGCGCCACACCAGCCAATCAGCATTGACATCCTCTGGGAACATATGACGCCAAGGACATAGCAGTGAAAGTTCATTCATTGTTTCAGCAATTTCACACACGTATGACGAGGGTCAACAAAAAATATTCTGGCGTTCACTAAAATTCACCAAAGTTAGGCGCTAACTGCTACCTACCACCTTTTCAGCTCACCAACTCTATGTTTGCTACTGACGTCCGAGGTGAGAGCCACACGTGAAAACTGCAAGTCGATAGGTAAAAAATATCTTGTGGATTCTTCCCATGATTCGGATATGCCGCAAAATTTAATGGGTTCTTCCCAGGCCTCCAGGAGCGCTGCTCAACCTTGCAGCAAACCTGTCCCAGTGGCCTCTCGCGGTAGCCTGGTGAAAAAATTCCCAAAAATAATTTTCCTCACAGACACAATTATAAAAGAGACGTCTGTAAAACTGTGACAGGACACCTCCGACTGCAAACAAGGTCAATTATGACTCTTTGTATTCTGAAGTTTTGATTCATGGAGGGTTTATATTTGTAAAACTTTCCTCAAGCTGAGAAAAGAGATTTAAAAATCTGTGACGTCATCACAGTATAAAGTCTATGAGCCAAGCAGGAACTTGTGGGCGGGGCCAGTGGGACAAACACATGCACATATTTAGTGGGCCACATACTGCAGACAGACAGGTAGGAGGACAGAGAGACAGGAGGACAGGAGGACAGACACACAGAGAGACAGGCGAGGTAATGGAGCTGTGAACATGGATTCTCTCTCTGACGGCTGATTGGACGACTCCAGTCTGAAAACGGTCTGAGAGTTCACATGTTCTAAAAACAGCAGAATGGCCCTTTACAGTCTTTCCTCCCCTGAACTCGGAGCTGGCAGCGTCCCAGCAGGTTTGTCATCCGTCCAATGAGCAGCTGAGGTTTGGACGGTGCAGGTCACATGACTGTGGGTCACGTTGTTTCTTCCTGTGGAGGAGCTGCTGCTGCTGCTTCACCCGCAGGACGACGAGAACCGACTAATTATCCCCGAATTATCCCGAGTCAACTCACATCAGCATGACAACACACTGTGTGTGTGTGTGTGTGTGTGTGTGTGTGTGTGTGTGTGTAGCGGGTCATCCCATCACTCGCACACAACCCTGCATCCGCCTTGTTAACTTTCTACTTTTCACTGCCTTGTTTCTAACTCTGTGTGTGTGTGTGTGTGTGTGTGTGTGTGTGTGTGTCACGCTGCCCTGCAGCCTGGTCCAGCTGGAAGGTCATCAGTTCATTTAGTGAATGTTGGGGCAGTGTTTCTTCTTCTTCACTGACTCACACTCGCAGCAGCTGCAGAGCTGCTTTTTAAACTGAAGCTGGATCAATAAAACATCAGACCTGACGTCTCGTCAGTTTTACATGTTTTAGTTTTTCGTTTGTGACATTTTATTCTAATTTTTTCTCATATTTCTTTGCGATGCACAAATCCTCAGCCATGCTTTTGTCTCCAGTCGTCTCAATGACTCTAACTCATCATTTAAAAAATGTGTACAAAAGGTACAGGACAGCACTCCAATTATAATGTTTATTGCCACACAACACACAAACGTGTGGCAATAAACATTATAACTGGAGTGCTGTCCTGTACCTTTTGTACACATTTTTTACATTTTTCATTGAGGATTCAGCACCCATTCATACTTCTGAGGGTTGAGCGTGTTTGTTTGGACTTCTAACTCATCATTTGCCACAAAAATCAATCAACTGCCTCCAACTGGTCCAAAATACTGCAGCTGTGGTTTTTGCAAGAGCTTAAATATATGAACACACGTCCCTGTTGTTGCCTCACTGCACCTGTGGTGTCAGAACTGATTTTAAAATCTTATTGATTGTTCACAAATCATTGAGTGGTTTGAGACGACTCCATGACTGTGGAACAGCCTCCCACAGACGAGTCACCTCACTGTCCTCTGTCAACACTCTTTAAAAACTAATTTCTATAAATGAGATTAGAGTTTGTCTGTTTGTTTTATGTTTTTATTAATTTGCTTATTCTCACATTTTTATTTATTGTCTCTTATTTGTTTCTGTTTTAAGTGACACTGACCTGACACTAGTTTTGTACTTGCACTTTGTATTTTGTTTTATGTCTGTAAACTACTTTGTAAACTTGTTTTTGAGAAGTGCTGTATAAAGTTCATCATCTGGACTCAATATTAATTGTTTAATCTGAACCAAAGTTTCAGGTTTGAA